TTATATTTTGGACTGAGATTAGTTGGAAGAAAATATCTATTATTGTAAACTAGAAGGAGTACTTTATAAGAAAATAAATTTTGACATCCCCAACTTTGACAATAGGGACACGCAAAGGCAAAACACTCAAAGTGAGCATGCTTCAAGCTCAGCACACATGTATGCTTTTCTCGTGTTTTAAAATACTGCATCAAAGTAGTTTAATTTATTGTGTTGTTCAAGAGAATCACTGCAAAAAGTTTTGACTTTAAGCAAAGACAAAAAGTCACCGCAAGAGCTTCCGTCATTGATTCTATATGTCATGACAATGAAATTTATTATTGAAAATACACAATCAGTGATAACAAATGTTACTTCAAAAAGGACAAATTATCATCGTTGAAAGTTAAGAATCAGTAGTGACAAATGTCGCTTTAGAAATTACCAATCAGTAGTGACTATTTTGTAGCTGTTGAAAGTTAAAAATCAACGACGAAAACTATCAATCATTGGTGACTATTTTGTGGTCGCCGCCAAAAGTTAAGCATCAACAGTGACACTTGTCAATGCAAAAACTACCAATCAACTATAACTTTTTTTGTCACCACCTAAAAGTGATGCTAGTGAACCTTGCCACATGTCACATTGTGTCAGCCTTCACGTAATGCCCTGTCATTATCACTTGTCACCTGCGTCTCCTTTCATGTGATACCATGTCACATGTCACCCCTCCCTTATTCAATATGTCATCATGTTTTCAACTTATATTTTCATTTTAGAAATTGCCTCTTTCATGGTTCGAGCTCAAAACTTCATTCATTCATATCTCACCATTTTACCATTGAGTTAGAATGAACTTACGTTATATTAATGTATAATTAAATATATATTATTAAACTAAACAAATATTTATATGCATAAATAACATTTGTTATATAATTCAGTTACACACATATATCTTAGATATTAAACATTGTAAAATATTTTTACTACTTGTAAATACTACTATTTAATGTTTTAAGTTATTAAAATTTTAAATTATAGTATTTATTTTGTCTGAAGTAAACTACAAATATAATTGATGCATGATCATGCATATTATTTATTTTAATTTTTTTATACCTCTCAAGGTTATTGTATTATTTATTTTAATATTCATAATTATAATTATAATATTTAAAAAATATAAGAATACATAATAAATATATAGATGATTATGCATTAGATCATAATTATTTATTTTTCTAGCTAGTTTTAATTAAACTTTTATTTTTACTTTCAATTAACAATAAACTCTTAAGTAAAGTAATTGACATGTTTTTATATTATATTTTACTTTTTTTATTAGTTTTTATTTTTAAATGATATTTTTATAAGAAAATTATACACTATATTGTCTAATTTTTTTATATTTATATCTTAAGATAGCATTAAACAAAAAAAATCATATAGCCTCACATGGATATATTTCATGTATTATAAAAATTAAAAGGATACTTCTAAAATATTTCATCTCTCTTCTTACTCATCTTCCTTTTTCTCATCATCAGTAATCAAATTGAAAACCTCTAAATCAGCATTAAGCTTCCAAGGCTAATCATGAGAATCAAAGTTATCGCGTGGTATTAAACATAGAATTTGATTAGAAAAATAGATTAATTGAGATGTCATTCTATAGATGAATAAATTTAACTACTACATGCCTAATTATTATAAACAAGCAGAATTATTATTTAAAATATTAATTTAATCATAAAATATACATAAACAGAGACTCATTATCACATTACATGTATTTTAAAATAAAATACCAAGCAATAAATTTTTGAATGAATTTATTACTTCATACAGGTGTGTGAATTGATCAATTCAATTGGATTCGATGTTAATTGACAAAAACCAATGAATTGAAGTAGCTTAAATAGTTAGGTCAAATCAAATTGAACATTGTTTGATAACCAAAATTGACCTTAAATAATATGGCTGGGCTCAATTCTTTAGCCTAACTCACTAACATTAAATAATACCTTAATCTTATATTAAAACATTTTCATTATTTTAAATATTAATTTAATCATAGAATATATAAAATGAAAATTAATTACCTTATTTTATCCATTTATCATAAAGTTACAATATTACAATAAAATTAATATCTTGAAATGTTAAATATTGAATTAAGTAAAAAAAACTATAATGATAATATCTAGTTACTATTTTTTCTAGCCAAATATCTAGTTATTATTGATTGTCATTCTTTTGGGGGTGATAGATTGATAGTTTTGAAAGTTAAACTTACAGCAATGATTTTTAAAAGTCATTGTCAAAAGTCTAACATTTTATGATGACAATCAATGTTATTACTAAAAGTCACACTTTCTGATGCAATTTTAAAAAGTTGTCATTGATTGTGAACTTTTATTGGTGACTTATATATGGCAAATAAAACTTAGATCTTCAGTGGTGACTTACAATGATTGTCATTAAAAATTTAATAATTAGTGGTGACTTTTTATAGTTGCAGTGGAAAGTCACATTTTTACTTTGATTGTCACTGCAGAAAGTCAAACGTTGATTTTTCAATTTTAGCGGTAGGTTGTTGTTGGAAGTTATTATTATTTTTAAAAGAATGATGCATCTCTAGCGCCTCAAACTCTCAAGATTATAATTTGTTTAACACAAAGAGGCTCGGTTGCAGTATTTTTAGAAGCGTAGTACATGCGTGCTAGACTTAAAGGATGTCTGGTGTTTTGCCTGTCCCCATGGCTGTCAAGGTTGGAGATGTCGGAATTCATTTCTTTAGAAAGTACAGAGTTTTATGAGCTGAATTTCTGAAACTTCTTTTGTCCTCATTTCGTATCCAACCAGATTAGTTGCTCGTGTTTGGGGGCATAGGGCGTGGCGTGTTGGGATGACATTGTGCTATCTGAATGAAGAGAGCAGGGACACAATTGGAACCCCTCATCGTGTAAGATCATCTAACATGCGACGCCTGTGTTTCACAAACAAATAGAAATTATATACAGTTTTTCTGGAATAAATTACCATCAACAAAACAATAAAAAATGCAAATTTACAGGGAGTCACATTGTTTATAAATAATGCGCAAATACAACTTTTACTGGTTTCACTGCATTCCTTCTTTCTTAATGTTGACAAAATTTTTAACATTTTTATAGGGTCTTGTACACTTTTTCATTCCTTCAATATTTTGTCTACATTTCAAAACGCTAAAAACATAATACGATCTTTTGAAAATGTTCAGGTTTGGTAAGTACTGTCTGTTTCTTATATCCTCGAGAAAAGATATTTAGTCGTTGAAAGGCATGAACATATTGTAAAACGAATTACTTTTTAATTAGCTGAACATATCTTGTTGGGAGAAAATTAGTAAATATGAAGTGTGAGAAAAAATAGAATGCATGTGAGAATATTTATTGATCAGGATGACTTCTGGCACATTGACGAAAGACGTTTTCAACTTTTATATTTTTGTTGATCTTTGAAGCCTCCGTGCATAAGGCTGTGCTTTGTGTTGTTTTTTAAACGGCCTATCTCGTCTGCAATCTCATACTTTGAGTGATATATCCCATTTCCATTAAGACTTAGGAAGATCCCGAATTAAGCGTATGAGTCGGTTAGTCTTCAATCATGCTTGTCAAAACTCTCTCGTAAAAATATTTGCCGCCGGCTTAGGGTCTCTCTTCTAGTTCATAGGAACTTAACTGCTTAGAATGTATTCTTTAATGGAAGTTTATATATAAATTGTTTAGTTACCTTTTATTTTTATTTTTTGGAAAGTCAAAATTATTACTTGCATTTGAAAGATAAAATACTAAAGGACTGAAACTTACCCAGATATTAGTACGGAAGTGTCAGCCTTAATTTTTTGAAAAGTCAAGACTTTTGGCAAATCTGTCAAGATAAAATGTTCACATTTTTTGAAAAGTCTAACTTTCCCTCCCAATGTACCTTCAACCAAGCCACCAGATGTGAGAACTTGAAAAGGATAGAAAAAGTCCATCCCTTCTAGCATATTTTGGTAAAAAAAAAAAAAAAAACCTTCCTTGTAACATCTCAAAATGGAGATAATAAACTTCATTGCGACAGAACATCGCTAACCAGTTCGCATTTCCTTTGAACTTGCTTGGCCATATTTTTAAAAGACCCGTTTGGGATTTTCACAAAATGCAGTTACTACCGCAGTCGCAATATGGAGTTTCTTCGGCAAGCTCGAGACGGCAAGTTTCCAAGATAGCGAAAGCAAACGTTCATTTTCATGTACTTCGAACAAAAGTCAAAAGCAGCCACTCAAAACCCCTTTTGCCTTATCATATTAATAAATACTACTTGGATAATTTATTTACCCGAGTCCATTGACCCCGCATTCTCACAACAAAAATTAAAAATTTATTAACAGTGTAAGCAACTTGTTATCACATTTATAGAAAACAAAAAGATCACCATTGGTTTCGTTGGTCTTATATGGTCCAACATCCCCTTTTAAATTATATTTTAAAGACATGATATTGCTTACGATGGCTAACCCCTAACCACAAACTACCCCCCGTGCAAACAAATGACAACGCCCATATAAATGAAATGCCGCCTGTGATCTATCATGAAAAAAAAAAAAAAAAAAAAAGAAAACCCTCTCTCTCAAGTCACCAATCATCACCCCTTCCCGCTGGAAATTAAATTTAATGCAAATTAGTGTGTGTGTGTGTGTGTATAAAATAAAAAAGGAGAAAAGGTTGGAGATGAGATGATAGAAGAAGTTGATTTATGATGAATTAGCTTCCATATTTGACTCATCTACTACCATCAAGGAGAAGAGTTGGTGGACTACACCACCCAACCCAAAGTCAACGGACGCACATCATTCATTCAATATTCAACTTGTGATGTGCGGCTCCTGCCCCCAAGGTTTTTTTTTTTTTTTTTCCCAACTTCAATATATTATTGGTTACTTGAAAGCTCTGAAAAAGTGGGAAACTATTACCGACTCACCCACTTTGCCTCTATCGGAAGTGTTTTGGGGAGAGAGAGCGAGAAGGGCAGAGAATTTAAGTCTGGTTTGCGTTGAAAGATAAGAGTCAGAGAGGCGGGGTAGCTGAGAAACTACTTCTTCTTCTTGTTCTTGAGGGGCATTGCGAGGGAAATACGGTGTGGCAGAGGCAGATACCACGTGCACCTTTCACAAAAGCCGTTATAACTTAAGCGACCCACCCATCCCCAACCTAAACCTGACCTACCTCTCTGCAACCTCTTTAACTATTCTTCCCACTCTCTGTGCTGTGCATGATCACCATACATGCACTAGCCCAATCCCATAACATTCTACGGTGCTAATTTAATTTATTTATTTTTCCTTTCTGAGCTCCACATATTTTACACAAATATCAACCCAATTGATTGATTTCATCTCCAGAGTTTCCAGCTTCTGTTGCCTCTACCCCAAGGTCCGTGATCCATCTCTTCTTCTCCGTCCTTCTATGATATTCTCTATCAGTTGCTTGAGTTTCGATCTTTTGGCTCGGTCTCTATATTTATATACTTCTGGAGTGTAATTTTATAGTTTTAGTCTTCAAGTCGGGGAATCTTTACCTCCTGTTGTCTGGAATTGGGTTCGGAACCTCCGAAGCCATTCTTTTCGTGAGATGGATTTGCCTTTTCTAGATAAAGACAGTCTAGAGTGCGGATGATTCTGTAGATTGAAAAGCTTGAAGTTTATCATTTGAACTGTCCTCCGTTTTTTCCCCCCGGCAATCGACATTTCCACAATACCGCATATAAGAGAGACTGAACTACAAGGCCGTGTTTGGTTGTTGAAGTAAAAGCTGCAGTTACTGGATGAATTGGACTTGTTATATGTTCTCAGATGTAACTCAGGTTCACCTTAAAAAAAAAAAAAAAACGGTTTGCCTATGCGAGTTCATCTCACGACGGACAGTTATATTTGTTTATTTATTGCCCCTTTCCAATTTGTCTTCGTTTCATTCTTTGCAGAAATTGGTCCCGATAAAAAAAAAATCTTGGCCGTAAAGGTTTGAGCACGACTTTATTGTTTATAGTCTATTTGTAGTTTTTTATGTTGTAAACGCTAGACTACGAAGGGTCAGGTCAAGAACTAGAACAACGCTCTTTAAATTTTTTGCAGGACTCTGTTAGTCGACAAATGATATAACTGCAGGATAAAAAATCCCAAATTCTGATTGAATTTTGACGTGCCAAGCTGCTTGTAATCTGTTTTAAGCTGTGCAGAAGAAGAAAAATGGCTGACACCGGGCCCGGGAATGGATTCATAAATGGTATAGTACCAAATAGGCATTCTGCTACAATCTCTGTAGTAGACGAGTTCTGCCACGCTCTTGGGGGAAAGAGGCCAATTCATAGCATACTAATTGCAAACAATGGAATGGCAGCAGTCAAGTTTATACGTAGTGTTAGGACGTGGGCCTATGAGACATTTGGCACAGAAAAGGCTATCTTGTTGGTTGCCATGGCTACTCCAGAGGACATGCGAATCAATGCTGAACACATCAGAATGGCCGATCAATTTGTTGAAGTTCCTGGTGGGACCAATAACAATAACTATGCCAATGTGCAACTTATTGTCGAGGTTTGTGCAGTATTTTAAATGAGATCATTCATTTGTAAAACTTCTCTTTATTGTAATTTGCAAAGCACATTTAGTTGTCATTACTAGTAAACAGCAAAGTGCGAAAAAACAATTTATACATGGAGTTTATTTATAATGTTTCTACATTTTCAGAGAGTTATCTTCCATTGAATTTGGAGTTTCTATCAAGTGGACACTGAGTCGCTACTTATCACGATACATTGGATAAAAATTTTCTGCTGCTTGTGCATAATTTGACCTGTTAGCTATTAACCATTCATATTACCTGTAGTTTACCGCAGCTTGTTATGACCTTCTTATTGACTCAGTTGTTTATTTTGCAACAAATTTCTGTGACCTGGCATGACATCTAAGTTGTTTGTTCTTCACAGGTGGCTGAGATAACTCATGTCGATGCAGTGTGGCCTGGTTGGGGTCATGCATCAGAGAATCCTGAACTGCCAGATGCATTAAATGCAAAAGGAATTGTCTTTCTTGGACCCCCTTCTGTATCTATGGCAGCATTAGGAGATAAAATTGGTTCGTCATTGATTGCTCAAGCAGCAGACGTGCCTACCCTTCCGTGGAGTGGTTCTCATGTAAATTTCGAACTCCTGTAAATGTAATAGAGCCTTCCCCTTTTAACTGGCACACTTAGGACTTGAAATTTCTTCTTACAGGTGAAAATTCCTGCTGAGGATTGCTTAATTACTATTCCTGATGATATTTACCGACAAGCATGTGTCTATACAACAGAGGAAGCGATTGCAAGTTGTCAAGTTGTGGGTTACCCTGCAATGATTAAGGCCTCTTGGGGCGGCGGTGGTAAAGGCATAAGAAAGGTTTGTTTGTTATGTAAGCAATACTGTGACATTTGAACTACTTTATAATATCCATATTTGTGCAGCTTAATTTGCAAACTAAATTTGTTTTTCATTTCATGAGTATGTAAGTTACTTTCAAACAGAGAACTAGATAAATATTTATAGTGCTGGGATAATTTGTGCTAACCCTTTGTACTTGTGAATTGTCCAATAAAGTCTAGAAGTTAAGAGGCATTTGAATATGAATATTGCAGGTTCATAATGATGATGAGGTCAAGGCATTGTTCAAGCAAGTTCAAGGGGAGGTTCCAGGCTCTCCTATATTCATAATGAAGGTAGCATCCCAGGTATGATTTTCAACTGAACTTTGATCTGAACAACCCTGATGCTTGGAGTCTTGATCATATTCTGATGATCTTTTTCTGTTTCCAATCAGAGCCGACATTTAGAAGTCCAGTTACTTTGTGATCAGTATGGAAATGTTGCTGCTTTGCATAGTCGTGACTGCAGTGTTCAAAGGAGGCACCAAAAAGTATGACAATATGTCCTACTGCTGATCCAGATTCTCATAGTAAAATGAATCAAAATGAAGTTTTTGAAAGGTCTAATCAGTTATTTATAACAGATTATTGAAGAGGGACCAATTACTGTAGCTCCTCTGGATACAGTGAAAAAACTGGAACAGGCAGCTAGAAGATTGGCTAAAAGTGTAAATTACGTTGGTGCAGCTACAGTTGAGTATCTATTCAGCATGGAGACAGGCGAGTACTACTTTTTGGAGCTGAACCCCCGGTTACAGGTAACATAATCTTAATTTTGTCTGTTGCATAATTTTTAGTTTCTTATGATTTGAAGGATTTTCTTCTTTAATTTGGTTTTCCCATTGGTATTCATTTCTATGTTAGTTGATATCTACTTGAAAAATGGCTGTATAAGCATAATTCATTATTTTTTTAAAACCATTTGTAGCTTTAATTTTTTACTGACTATCTATTAATTTGTTTCTATTTTTTTCCTGCTTCTAGCAATATTTTCATCACTTGTGATTGATTCTTTAATTGATATCTTCATAGGTTGAACATCCTGTTACTGAGTGGATAGCAGAGATAAATCTGCCAGCAGCGCAAGTTGCTGTTGGGATGGGTGTCCCTCTCTGGCAAATTCCTGGTACAACGAAAGATAAAATTCATGAGTTCTTTGCTTTATTGCCTTTTTGCTGTTGACTTGATGTACATCATTACCTTATATTTCTCTTGTTTAAAAGAGATAAGGCGTTTCTATGGGGTGGAACATGGTGGGGGTTATGATGCTTGGACGAAAACATCAGCTTTAGCCACTCCTTTTGATTTCGACAAAGCTGAATCTACAAGGCCAAAAGGTCATTGTGTGGCTGTCCGGGTGACAAGTGAGGACCCTGATGATGGTTTTAAGCCTACAAGTGGGAAAGTGCTGGTTAGTTACCAAGTCCAGCAGAAATTCCATGTATCTTTATGTGTGCTTCTCATGTATTGATCTGCCAAATTTTGTGCAGGAGCTGAGCTTTAAAAGCAAGCCAAACGTGTGGGCATACTTCTCTGTTAAGGTTGGTGATCTTGTTTCTCAATATATGGGTGTAACTTCTATGTGTAAGGGCTAAAAGTTGTTGGTTATGTACATATCCAGTCTGGAGGAGGAATTCATGAATTCTCAGATTCTCAGTTTGGTAAGTGTCAACTTTTGTTCACAGAATTCTCTCAGCAGTTTAAAGGGACTGAATGGGTAATGAAATAACTACTCTTAATTTTAATGGCTAAAGACATCACTGTAAGCTTTAAGCAAATGCGAACTTTAGGCTGTCATGAAAATATATGCATGTATGATGATTTATTCTGAGGAGGAACTAACCTTGTTATGAGAAATATGGTTTATACTGGCATGCATGGCCTTAGTTGTAGAGCAACAGTAAGGAAGTTAAGCTGGATTTACGGGTGGGTGGGTTGGTTGGTTGGATTTTGTTACGTTGCTATTTCATTGTATTCTAATTAATATTAGACAAGTTATATTGAAGCACTTAATCTCTTCATCACAAACTCATTCGTAATCTTGCCTCATGAGCCTCAACTTTTAAAGCCACTGCATTGTATTTTTCCCCAGGTACAAGAAGCCTACTGCTTTGCTATTTATACTATTCTTTTACAAAATTCTCTTTCTTTAACTGTGAAACTTGTGCCTTGTTGGTATATATTCATGGATGTATGCAAGTCCCTTTTTGTAACTTAATTTTCACAAAGCTTCTAATCCCCTTTTCTTGTAACTCAGGGCATGTTTTTGCATTTGGAGAATCTAGGGCCTTGGCGATTGCAAATATGGTTCTTGGGCTGAAGGAGGTTCAAATTCGAGGAGAAATTCGTACCAATGTTGATTATACTATAGATCTCTTAAATGTAATTTTCTCACGTGTTGACTACTTATTCCATATGAAGTTTTTAGTAATGCAGAAATAATATTCATTATTATGACAATGTCTGGTCTCAGGCTTCAGACTACAGAGAAAACAAAATCCACACAGGATGGTTGGACAGTAGAATTGCGATGAGGGTTAGAGCAGAAAGGCCACCTTGGTATCTTTCTGTTGTTGGAGGGGCACTCTATGTAAGCAGCCCCCCACGCCCCCAACTTTTTTTTATGTTTGACATTGTGAACTATATGACCCATGCTTCTAATTATTGCAGAAAGCTTCTGCTAGCAGTGCAGCTTTGGTTTCAGACTACGTTGGTTATCTTGAAAAGGGACAAATCCCTCCAAAGGTATAGCATTTGACTCGGAGAAGAATCTACTTAGTACCTGTATTTAACTCCCTTATGTCCAAATGGTACTGATTTTTGTTAATAACTATTGCAGCACATATCTCTTGTCCACTCTCAAGTGTCCTTGAACATTGAAGGAAGCAAATATACCGTATGCATTGTTATCAGGATCAGTTTTATGGAACCATTTGTCTAGTTTTCTAATTTGTTGGTGTGTCATGCTAGCATAGCTACTGCACACGCTGATCAGTTTGTGCCATCAAAATCTTGTAAAATGATTTACAGGTAGACATGGTAAGAGGAGGACCAGGAAGTTATAAATTGAGAATGAATGAATCAGAAATAGAAGCAGAGATACATACCTTACGGGATGGAGGTTTGCTAATGCAGGCAAGTGTTGTTTCTCTAAACTATTGTATGCATGTGCTTGTGCCTTTGTCCTTTTAGTTCAACCCCATCACTGTACTATTAACATTGAGATTTATATTATTTAATCCTTTTAAACATTTTTACATTTCCTAAAATGTAATCCTCTGCTATTATGATGATGATGTGGGCATGAATATCACTGATAAAAGGTCCTAATAATTGTGTAGTTGGAAGTAGAATTAGATTCACTTTGCTTTGAGTTTTTCGTAGACAATTCCTCCATCTTGAAGGTTCCAAAACACTACCTTGACGTATGGAAAACTTGGATCCCTCTTGCACGGTGGTGCAATATAAGTGGTGCTTGATTTTAATCTGATCTTTGATTTCTTGACTGTCGCTTTACTTATTGCAGTTGGATGGAAATAGTCATGTGATATATGCAGAGGAAGAAGCAGCTGGAACTCGTCTTCTAATAGATGGAAGAACTTGCTTGCTTCAGGTTAAATGAGTTCATTTTTACCCAAAAATCTGAAAATTTTTTGGGCTGTGGGTGACTTCTAAAGCTTATTTACTTGCAGAATGACCATGATCCATCAAAATTAGTTGCAGAGACACCTTGCAAGCTTCTGAGATATTTGGTTACAGATGACAGTCATATTGATGCAGACACACCATACGCAGAGGTTGAGGTCATGAAGATGTGTATGCCTCTTCTCTCACCTGCTTCTGGGTTTATTCATTTTAAAATGACTGAAGGTCAAGCAATGCAGGTATTTACTAGTTCTGCAATGAAAAGATGTGTGTTCTAGCTACTATGAATATTAAGAAAGCATCTTCTTTTGTAGGCTGGTGAACTTATAGCAAGGCTTGATTTAGATGATCCTTCAGCTGTAAGAAAAGCAGAACCTTTTCATGGGAGCTTCCCAGTATTGGGTCCTCCTACTGCAATTTCTGGTAAAGTTCATCAGAAATGTGCTGCAAGTTTAAATACAGCACGCATGATACTGGCTGGCTATGAGCATAATATTGAGGAAGTGAGTGTCTTCTCTACCTTAATGTCTTCATGAATTTTGTCTTTTTGACAGTAATGCATTTTTTAGCTTCATATAAGTGATCTTTCTTCGCTTTCTAACCTCTTAAATGTAATATTAATGTCCGTCTTTAATATGCTTGCCTGACTAATAAATTTGACGTTTGTATACAGGTTATGCAAAGTTTACTCTATTGTCTCGATAGTCCTGAATTGCCTTTCCTTCAATGGCAAGAGTGCTTGGCTGTTTTGGCAACTCGTCTCCCCAAAGATCTCAAAAATGAGGTAAGGGTGCCACTTCTGGCTTTGCCATCCGGCTTAACATCTGATGAGTGATTTAACCTTGCCTTGACTGTGTTATTTCTCAGTTCGAATCAAAATACAAAGAATTTGAGAGGATTTCAAACTCCCAAAATGTTGACTTCCCCGCCAAATTGTTGAAGGGAATCCTTGATGTGAGCTCCTCTTGTTGTTATTGTTATTGTTGTTGTTGTTATTTTCCTCCTACAATGCGAGAGCAAAATAGGGTGTGTTTTACGCTGCAGGCTCATCTTTCCTCCTGTCCTGACAAAGAAAAAGGAGCCCAAGAAAGGCTTGTTGAACCTCTGATGAGTCTGGTGAAGTCTTATGAAGGGGGACGAGAGAGCCATGCCCGGTTTATTGTTCAATCCCTTTTTGATGAGTATCTTTTTGTTGAAGAACTATTTAGTGATAACATACAGGTTAGTTTGATTATTCTGACTGCTGATACTGATATATATGGATAATGTATTCAATTATGAACTTAAGTAAGCATAAGGATAGCAAAAGATAAATCTTATGGGTTGCTAATGGGCCCCCATGTGTATCTAATGCATGTCCATGGGACCTGTTCATATACCTTAGTCTCCACTCTCCATCAATTACTCATGCATGTCCTCTTTACCCGTTTTCCTGGTAAAATGGTTTAATGTGTGATGAGAGGTTGTTTCTGCTCCATTACTTCTCCCAGTTTTTGAAAGAAATGAATTGATCTTTTTTTAATTTTCTTCATCTAACTGAAGATATTTATCTTGCAACGTCTTGAAATGCTGTGATTTAATTAATCAGCACCTTTCACTTTTCAGCATTTTTCATTAATCCTTTTCATGTTGATAGCAATGGGTTATCATACATCTAAATGTAAATCAAGAACTTATCAAGTGATATTTTTTATGATTTAGTTTTCAAAATATTCACACTTTTTTCCTTTTATATCCAGGCTGATGTAATTGAACGCCTCCGTCTTCAATACAAGAAAGATCTACTTAAAATTGTGGATATAGTGCTCTCTCACCAGGTATAACATGTATAAGATGCAAAGCTTTAGTGTTTAGCTTCTTTAACGTGTTTTGATCTTGAAATCATTATTCTGCAATTATAATTAGTTGCATTTGTTTGGTATCAGGGTGTCAAAAGTAAAAATAAGCTTATACTACGATTAATGGAACAACTGGTTTACCCTAACCCTGCTGCCTACAGGGATCAATTGATCCGTTTCTCTGCTCTCAACCATACAAATTATTCCGAGGTTGGATTTTCCTGTAATGCATAGTTTTTTTTTTTATCTATTTTATTTTTAGGAGCATAATATCTCTATTTCTTAAAGTTGATGTTATGAATATATATTCTTAGTGTGTATCCTTTCCATGTTACTGGCTATACTGTTACTTTAGTTTTGGCAACAAATTTCTCTTGAGCATTTTGATGAGAGTCTTGACGCTCACATTATCTTGATGCAGTTGGCTCTTAAGGCAAGTCAATTGCTAGAGCAAACTAAATTGAGCGAACTTCGTTCTAGCATTGCTAGAAGTCTTTCTGAACTAGAAATGTTCACCGAGGATGGTGAAAATATTGATACTCCTAGGAGGAAGAGTGCCATTAATGATCGAATGGAGGACCTTGTGAGTGCCCCTTTGGCGGTTGAAGATGCCCTTGTAGGTTTGTTTGATCACAGTGATCATACTCTTCAAAGGCGGGTTGTGGAAACTTATATTCGTAGGCTGTACCAGGTATATCTTATACTGTTATTAACAGATACATTTTCTTCTTATGATTATTTACTTTTCTAACATTTAATATCTTCTATCAGCCGTATCTTGTCAAAGGGAGTGTTAGGATGCAGTGGCACAGATCTGGTCTTATTGCTTCATGGGAGTTCCTGGAAGAGTATGTCGAAACGAAGAGCGGAACTGAAGACCAAATGTCTGATAAAGCATCGTTGGAGAAACATAGTAAGAGAAAATGGGGAGTGATGGCTATAATTAAATCTCTTCAATTTTTGCCTGCAATAATCAGTGCTGCATTAAGGGAAGCAACTCATAACTTTCATGGAGCACTTCCAACTAGTTCTGCTGAACTGGTTCACTATGGTAATATGATGCATATTGCATTGGCAGGCATCAACAATCAGATGAGTTTACTACAAGACAGGTACTAGATTTATATCATCTAATTGACATTCAATCTAGGTTGTTTACGTATCAATAGTAATGTAGCTAACAATTTGTTTTACATTAATAATCCAATACTTGCTCTTAAAGTCATTACTGAAATATACTAAATGGTTAAATTTAGTTTCCTTCTTGAATCACAAGTGGACTAATTTTCTTTTCTTTGATCTAGTGATTAGAACCTTCGATTGCTTGCTAAAACCTTTTATTTTTTGTGATTTGTAGTGGTGATGAGGATCAGGCCCAAGAAAGGATCAATAAGTTAGCCAAAATACTTAAGGAAAAAGACATAGGCTCCTCTATACATGCTGCAGGAGTAGGAGTAATTAATTGTATCATACAGAGGGATGAAGGGCGAGCCCCTATGAGGCACTCCTTTTACTGGTCAGCAGAAAAGCTCTGTTATGAAGAGGAGCCCTTGTTGCGTCATCTAGAACCTCCCCTATCCATTTATCTTGAATTGGTCAGTTGTCTTGTTACTTTCATTGCCTGTAATGTCTTGATGGAATTGAGAGAAATAAAATTGTCTTGTGTGCTTGGTCTTAGACATTGAATTTTGTCTTGATACAGGGAAAACTTAAAGGCTATGATAATATACGGTATACTCCATCCCGAGATCGTCAATGGCACTTGTACACAGTTCTAGATCATAAGCCTCAATCGATTCAAAGAATGTTTCTCCGAACACTTGTAAGGCAACCAGTGACAAGTGATGGATTCTCTTCATATCAAGGGCTAGATGCGGAAACATCTAGTGCCCAATTGACTATGCCTTCTACTTCAAGGAGCATTTTGAGGTCCTTGATGGCTGCCATGGAGGAGTTGGAACTTAATGCACACAATGCCACTATCAGACCTGAACATGCTCATATGTACCTCTATATCATACGCGAGCAACAAATTAGTGATCTTTTGCCTTATACAAGGTAATCATTGGAAACTTGCAGATACATTATTCTTCTAACCTTTGATCAGTGTCTGAAATTTAAGATGTTATTGCCAGGAGAGTTGACATAAATGCCGACCAAGAAGAAACAACAGTTGAGGTGATCTTGGAAGAACTGTCACATGAAATCCATTCTTTTGTTGGTGTAAGAATGCATAGATTAGGTGTTGCTGAGTGGGAAGTCAAACTCTGGATGACATCTTCTGGACCAGCAAATGGTGCCTGGAGGATTATTGTAACTAATGTGACTGGCCATACATGCACTGTACATGTAAGTTTTTATTCATTAAAAAAATTGACAAAAACAGTCTCACATGCGCCAACTCTTTGATTGACAGCTAGTTAAAGGCTGTTTTCCAAAAGAAGACTAGGTATTAGCCTCCATATCATATCGGCAATCTATACACACCAACTCACACACACGAATATTGGTCATTTAATAATCTATAAGGAGCATTTTTCTGTATATTTGGCAGAATTCTAATAATTGGCATTCAGTGGTACCCTCATAAATATCCATTGGCATGTTCAATCCTGAATGCAAAGAACACTGGCTTAAAAGCTGTTCCTCTATTTAAGTTTCAGTAAACTCTGAGCTTTTGATTGATGAGGCTATATGAGAGAAAAAGAACTCAGAAGATTTTTCTTTTAATGAAAATAATGATAATAACAATAACGAGGATGATGATAATCAGCTAGAATTTTTTTCCCTCCTTTTATCCATTGAAAATAGTTTAGAATTCAAAATGTATAAAAGACAACTATGAAAACCTTTGGCATCAAGAAAATTAAAAAATTGAAGAGAAGCCAAGGGCAACTATTTTTCTTGGTCAACTAAATTGAGTTTCTGTATTGGAAGAACTATTGCTGAAGATGGCTCATGAATCATGATTTGATTGTGGGTTAATATATTTGCAGATATACCGAGAACTGGAGGATACCAGCACACATAAAGTGATATACAGTTCAGTTACTGTAAAGGGTCCTTTGCATGGTGTACCAGTGAATGAAAACTATCGACCTTTAGGAGCTATTGACCGAAAACGTCTTGTAGCAAGGAAGAACAACACCACATACTGCTATGATTTTCCACTGGTAAGTCATCTTGTGACTTCAAATTTAATTACCTTCTGCATTTGTGTGTGATTTCCCCTTCTGTTTAATGACCATTTCTTGGAGACAAGCCAAACTATTTTCCTGAGGAGACATGTTACTTGCAGGCATTTGAGACAGCTTTGGAGCAATCATGGACCATGCAGCACCCAGGATTTCAAAAGGCTAAAGACAAAGTTCTTCTAAAAGTAACAGAGCTAAAGTTTGCTGACAAGGAGGGCAATTGGGGTACTCCTCTTGTTCCTGTGGAGCGTCCCTCTGGACTCAATGATGTAGGCATGGTAGCCTGGATAATGGAAATGTGTACTCCTGAGTTCCCTAATGGAAGGACAATCTTAGTTGTAGCTAATGACGTGACCTTTAAGGCCGGTTCTTTTGGCCCAAGAGAGGATGCGTTCTTTCATGCCGTAACTGATCTTGCGTGTAAGAGAAGATTGCCATTGATTTACCTGGCGGCAAATTCTGGTGCCCGTTTAGGTGTAGCTGAGGAACTCAAATCTTGTTTCAGAGTTGGTTGGTCTGACGAATCTAACCCTGAGTATGGTTTGCAGTATGTATATTTAACACCTGAGGATTATGCTAGGATTGGATCATCAGTGATGGCACACGAGTTAAAGCTGGAAAGTGGAGAAACCAGATGGATAATTGATACCATTGTTGGGAAAGAAGATGGTCTAGGGGTTGAAAATTTAAGTGGCAGTGGAGCCATTGCCAGTGCCTATTCAAGGGCATATAAGGAAACTTTCACCTTGACATACGTGACTGGAAGAACAGTGGGAATAGGGGCTTATCTTGCTAGGCTGGGAATGAGGTGCATACAGAGGCTTGATCAGCCCATTATTCTTACTGGTTTTTCTGCATTGAACAAACTCCTTGGTCGGGAGGTATACAGTTCTCACATGCAACTTGGTGGGCCTAAGATCATGGCAACAAATGGAGTTGTTCATCTTACTGTTTCAGATGATCTTGAAGGTGTTTCTGCTATTTTGAGATGGCTCAGCTACATTCCTTCTCATGTAGGTGGTACACTTCCGATTGTACAACCCCGTGATCCTCCAGAAAGACTGGTGGAATATTTCCCAGAGAACTCATGTGATCCTCGTGCTGCCATCTGTGGTTCTGTGGATAGTAATGGAAAATGGCTGGGTGGGATTTTTGACAAGGAAAGCTTTGTGGAGACACTTGATGGATGGGCCAGGACAGTTGTTACAGGAAGGGCAAAGCTCGGAGGAATCCCTGTGGGGATTGTTGCTGTTGAGACGCAGACAGTGATGCAAGTTATACCAGCTGATCCAGGCCAGCTTGATTCTCATGAAAGGGTGGTTCCTCAGGCCGGGCAGGTCTGGTTTCCTGATTCTGCAACTAAGACGGCCCAATCAATACTAGATTTCAACAGAGAAGAGCTCCCACTTTTCATTCTTGCAAATTGGAGAGGTTTTTCAGGTGGGCAGAGGGACCTTTTTGAAGGAATTCTTCAAGCTGGATCAACCATTGTGGAGAACCTTCGAACATACAAGCAGCCTGTATTTGTATATATCCCAATGATGGGTGAACTCCGTGGTGGGGCATGGGTGGTTGTAGACAGCAGAATCAATTCAGACCACATTGAAATGTATGCCGATCGCACAGCTAAAGGGAATGTCCTTGAGCCGGAAGGGATGATAGAAATCAAATTTAGGACAAAGGAATTATTGGAGTGCATGGGTAGACTTGACCAGCAGCTAATAAACCTGAAAGCAAAATTACAGGAAGCCATGAGTAATAGGGCTATTGGGACCGTTGATTCCCTCCAGCAGCAGATTAAATCCCGGGAGAAACAGCTTTTGCCTCTATATACGCAGATAGCTACCAAATTTGCTGAATTACATGATACCTCCTTAAGAATGGCTGCAAAGGGTGTAATAAGAGAAGTTCTGGACTGGCGTAACTCCCGCTACTTCCTGTACCGGAGGCTGCACAGGAGAATTGGTGAGCATTCGCTGATAAACAATGTCAGAGACGCTGCTGGTGGCCATATGTCTAACATATCTGCAATGGAGTTGATCAAAAATTGGTATTTGAATTCTGATATTGCCAAAGGGAGAGATGATGCTTGGTTGGATGATGAGGCTTTCTTCACATGGAAGAATGAACAGCAGAATTACGAGGATAAATTGAAGGAATTGCGTGCCCAAAAGGTGCTGCTTCAACTGACAAATATTGGCGATTCAGTTTTGGATTTGGAAGCTTTACCTCAAGGTCTTGCTGCTCTTTTAAGCAAGGTAAAACATCTCGTCATGTCATGCCATGCCTTCCCCACCCCCCCCCCCCCAAAAAAAAAATCATTTGCTACCTCGCTTTGTCTATTTCTTCCTGAAAGTAACTGTCTAAAAATCTCCTGCAGTTGGAACCATCAAACCGTGCGAAATTGATTGATGGGCTCCGGAAGGTACTTGGTTAGTTAGAAGGCTGGTGCTTCACTAGTGTACAATACAATAAATACTCTCGTTCTTTGCTCATTAGTTTTTCTGCTTCTGTAATGGTTAAATTAAGTGGTAAATCTCACCTTTATTGGGCCAAAGTGATCTTCATGGAACCATGCCTTGAGTGTAAATCATGTTAATGGTTGATGGATGTATAATTTCTGCAATTGACAGGATCACAGCCAGCGTCGGCAAGTTTGTTTCTTTATATGCTGACTGTATGATTCTTTTTCTGTATCAGAATAAATGTTATAATTTGTAACATACGTGATTATTTATGCATCCAAAATTTTGGGCATCCACTGAGAATCATTTACGCAGCGGTTTTTCACATCCGGCAATCCAATTTCTAGGGTGGGTGCCAGGGAAATTATATTGGGAGAATATCAATGGAAGGCCCTAAAAAAATTTAATATTTGATAAAAACTTGAACATATTAAATACTTGTTAAAATAAAAAATTTATTTGTTAACTGTTAATATTTATTTGCCGGCAAAAAAATTGTTAATATTTATTTGTTAAAAATCCTTTTATGAAATTAGATTTCTTAAAGAGTTCTTCACTAATATTTTCCCAATTTCTTTTTCCTTGTCCCAGTCTAATTTATATATTTATCGCTATATAATATCTAACCAGGTGGCAAGCAACCCCAGTCCAGTTTATATATCTATCGATATTTAGAGATAGGATAACACTTTCTATGGGGTTTCATGCCACCTAGTTATAAATGTAATAAGTGAACTTTATATTTTTATATAAAATTTATAATAAAATAAAATAATGCCATAAATATTTGTTTTAAAAATTAGATCAGATGTCAACTAAAAAAAACCAGAATCACGGTATTTTATAATTTAACTAGATATACCCATGATTGAATTTGGCCCCAAAAAGAAAAAAAAGACCAATGATTGAATTGGTTATACACATAATAATATATGCATTTAGAAATAGTTTAAAAAATTTAAAATATGTCACAAATCATTGAAAGTAATATACTAACTAGTCAATATAAAATCTCATGTCCACCATATTATAAATTGTCGATAAGATATGAGGAGCTCTTGTTTGGATGAAATGGTCAAATGGGCCACTTGCAAGGGAGGGAAGGAGGGAAGGAAGAAGGAACTCCAATGGTCCAACTTCTAAAATAGCCATTCAAACCGAGCTCCTAAGCTTTTCAAAATGACGGTCGAATTGATCCACCCATCTAGTCCAGCTTGAATTTAAATCACTGATAAACACCATACCACGTGAGTGTGCGTTTAAATCTAAATCTTAAAAAAAAACAAAAAACAAAAAACAAAAAACTCATTCTTTTTTCGCACAGGGAAAAAAAGTCACAAGTCATGAACAGTGCAATTTCCCCCTATCGAGTGTTCATGTCATTTAGTTATACAAGTAACACGAGTTTCGCCTCTAGTAACTATATTCCCATAAAGGATTTGCTGATTTAAATCTTGTACAGAGGAGTCGTGTTAGTCCATAGGAATGTGCAAATAACAAGCTGAAGGACTTGTTGAATTGTGAAAGAACTATGAACGTTGGAATGCTGAGGGATTCAAATAATCATTCAATGGAGTTATATCTCAGGTTGAATTAAATCATTTTTTAAGGGACAATTTAAACACACCCTCCCTCAGAGAAGGGAACACACAAACCACAAGCCCACAGTCACAGAGCGTACCCACCAAAGGCAGAACTTGCAATCTTCCTCTTTCGAGGGAGGTGCATGTGCCCTTGTGGCACTAGGCCATTGTCAGTTGAATTAAATCAATTTAGTAAGTGGCCCAGATAAAATTTTCATATGATCCAAAAGACGAATCCGAAAAAAGCTAACAGGATTAACCGATCACATATTCTAAGACTTCTATTTACCAATGCAGAACTTGCCAAATATATTAGATAAAACCTCTTCCGATATATCATCTCCACTGATGAGCCCAAGCGCCAATGCTGCATCTCTTAAATCAATTGTCCAAAAATCCATAGGTAGTTTCTCGTCTATCGAGGCTTTTAGTCTTTCAAAAGCTTCCCTCGTCCGAACAAGTTGTTCACATTGTCTCTGAAAATGCATAAGTACATTATCACGATAAAAAACAAAATTTTCTTTTCATCCAGTTTTTCCCTATCATTCATAAGCAGAAGTCAACGGTTGTGTGATTCCTAGTAGTGGTACTGGTAACGGGCCTAAGCTGGATTCCCTTCTCTCCAGCTAGAAAACCAAAGCATAAAAATGACCAACATAACCCCCTCAATTCTAGTTCTGGTTGAAGCATTATGTTGCCATCCATATATGCATGCATGCATGCATGCATGAATGATCCTAGTAGCCTAGCAATCTAAAAGTTTTAGGTTCCCTTTCAGAAGGCCTACAGTTTTGAACCTATAGCATGATGAGAGACGAAGATAAAAAGACAATACCAGGTGATAGCTTACCTGATTGGCCGTCCATTTACGTCCCCCAGTGGGAATGCTGTTCAGACCCATTATATCTAATACAGCCCTCTCTAATTCGTGTAATCCTTCACCAGTGACAGCACATGTGAACACATGTTTGCCAAAAAAATTGGAACACACTTTGGCCCATCCAATCTCAACACCAGCAGCACAATCTATCTTGTTGACCACAAGAATTGCAGGGGTGGAAGATCCCGTTGATCTCTATTGTTAGGGGAAGATTTGACAGCAGCAGAAATTAATATCTTCGCTTTTCCAAAAGCATGGTAGAGCATAAAAATACAAGAATTATTTTTAGGTGAATAGTGAGGCTAAACTATCAGATTATAAGTGGACTGGTGTTTACGTCCCAATTTATAATCTGACATTACATGTATAACGAGATTTGTTGATGGTTGATCATAATAAAATTAAAGATGAAAGAAAGAAAACTGAATCATGTTGCCATGATGTGATACCTTAGTAGATTGAATCCTTTCTAGAAGTTTGGTGTCTTCCAAAGTCCACCCTTCAACAGCACTGACAGTCATGATAATCAAATCAGCTCCCATAGCAACTGCTTCAGATCTCTCTACGCCTATTAAGAGAACAAATACAAATCTCAATACATGCAGAGCATTGAACATTGAAAAATGAGATAAAAGAATCAAGCAAAAAATTAACATGCATACAAACAGACAAGTCTAAATCAGGCAAAGTCTCAATATCCAACTAATATTAACTAACTAACTGTCTTGGAGACCAAAGACAGTATGGGATGCCTCAGTCTCACATTAATAGTATAGGATGCTCTTAGAGGTAGTTAAGTGGAGTGGTTTTCTCATGAGTACCCATCAGCTAGTATTAGTGCTGATGGAAACAGTTCCAAAAAGGGTTAAAATGGAGAGTTCTGAATAGTGGAGGGTTTTGACTAGCCAGGAGGTCAGATGCAGAATGCAACTGCCAGGACATCAACTCTCAAAGGGCCAATTGATGGAGACCAAATGTACTGTGGGATGTCTAAGTCCCACATTAAGTAGCATAGGATGCTCTTTGGGGTGGTTAATTAGGTTAGTATGCCCACATGAATAGCTAGCTAGCTTTTAGGGAGGGTTCTCATCCAGTTTGAGTACCCATCATTAGCTAATTAATCATAATAAATATCCAAGATAATCCATGCAAAATATACCAATTTACCTTAAAAATGTGGTCAAAAAAGACACACAGTATGTTTGAAAAACTAGATCACAATGAATAATCTGACTTTTATGGATCCTATAAAATTACATTTGAAGGTAAGCCAGAGCTGTAGAGAAGTGAAAGATTGAGCAACCAAAAACTCTTGCCTTTAACTTAAAGGAGGAAAGAGAAAGGCTTACCAATCTTTTCCACAATGTCATGAGTATCCCTGATTCCTGCAGTATCAAGCAAGGTTATAGGAATACCATTGATGGTGACACTTGCTTCAATCACATCCCGGGTGGTTCCAGCAATTTCAGTAACTATAGCCCTCTCGCTCTGTATGCTACAACAACATCACTCTAAATAAGCCATCACTCTCCTTTGTTAGTAATGTGAGTTGTAACACAGCAAGCTACTGGTCGCCACATAAATCATGAAATCATATTCTATTTTCTTTGTTTCCTCATTATTTGGTTTCTTTTTTAGTGGAGAGTGGGGGTCATTCACCCATGAACAGGGTTAAAAATAGCGTGAAGATCACAAAGCACTAATAAAAAATGTATCAGCAGAAAATTATAAATGCAATAGACAGAGATCACAACAACATAAATCTCCATATACCAAAATTGGCATCACAACATAAACTTGTCAATTAAATAGAAGGTTAAATTTATTCTTCAGGAAAGGTTAAACTTTGCAACATACTTTGCTCCATGCATTAAGAAGGCTTGACTTGCCAACATTTGGACGGCCAACAATTGCTATCTGCAAGAATTTTATAATATCAGTGATTATATGACACATGGTATTATATGGAAGCGAATAGGAGAACAAAAGCCCCTCTTTATGTCACACGAGAAGCAAACATTAGTTACGAAGCTGTCTTCAAGATCATGCCTGTAATCCAGACTGAAGAAGCTTGTCATAATTGGCCGTCTCCAATGCATCCCGTACGTCTTGCGACATAGAATGTATTTTATCCATTAATAAATTTAAATCTAGAGGTGGCATCTCATCATCAAAATCTAAACGAGCTTCAATCTCTGTAAGCAGCTCAATGCACTGTATTCTCAGTGACCTGACAAGAGAAGAGAAACCCCCCTGTCCAACAAATAATGGATTTTAGTTCTGCTTATCCAGCCATAAGATGACATTATTCAAAAACCAGATGCCCCCAAGTTCAAGAAACACATCGCTTCCACAGTTACATATCAAAACAAAGTTGAGTTATGAAATAGACATGCCTGGATTCCAGCCAGTGCTGCGTCAGCAGCAGCAACAGATTTGGCTGTTATTAGCCTTTCAACATTTTCAGCTTGTGAAAGATCTAACCGACCATTTAGAAAAGCACGTAGAGTAAATTCACCTGAAAGAAGAAAAGACCAATTAATATTCTGGATCATTTCAATTCTAGTTCATTCTGCATGAACATATTGTGCGTGCATTTTTTGTGACCATTAAGGTAATCCAGAATTTTGCAAGGGAGTTGACCACCAGACAAATTATTTACCTTTAATTAATGTACAAAATAAACTTCATTAAACAAGTATGATGTCATCATCCGTCCTCTGTAACTTGATGCAAAGTGGTATATGTTCAGATACGTGAATACCTTGGTCTCGTTTTATTTTCCCTTTCCCTTCTAGGATAAAGGATGAAAACACAGGAGCCAACGACAGATTGATAAACCCAATGGCTTCTAGTACACTTCAACATTAAGCGACTTCCATTTCACAAAAGCTTTAGGTCACAATAATAAGATCACTGACCATATATAGCAGTCTACTTCGCATATGATCAAACCCTGAATTTTTTTAACTAGATGTGGCTATGTTCAAAGTTTGAGAAATGAATTGCGCTGTTTATAGCTTACGAATAATGTGAATTTTCATTGATTTATAAGTTATATATAAACAAAAAAAATTATGATAATTTATTTTCTTTTATTCTTGACTGCTTGCATTGGCCGACAATTATGAAGGAATGTCATTTAAGGAATTCTTGCATGTTCCTTCTGATCCTATTTATAAGTTATTTTTAACATTTTGATTAGAATAAATCATTTAAGGAATCAAATAAAACCTTAAACCTTATTGTCTGTCTAAAAATTCAATAAGTTTTCAAATTTATCCCTATTAAATATACATACTTTAAAAATAAGATATTCTAGTATTTAATAATTTTCCCAACATATAATAGCAAAATGGTGAAGATGGACACTTATAAATAGCACCAAAATAGATATTCTCTCTCTGCCATGTACATAGGGCCGGAGGAGTATTAGTTTGCGCACAGAAGTTTAAACTAGCTGTGCAGATGGCTTTTTTTTAAATTATTATTAGTGACGAATAAGTGCAGAAGCAATAAGCCTTTGAACTGGTGCCTACTTCTCTTGAAGGCAAAAAATTTTAAAAAAGAAAAAAGAACCAAGAATGTTCACACTTCGCAGTGGTGTCTATTCCGAGACAAAAAGCGCAATTGACCTGGTTGGGCAAGTCTTGCTCCAGCTTCCAGACAAGTTCTCAATACACGGCGTAGACACACCTCACTTCCATGACATTGAAGCTCAATCACGTCTTCCCGAGTGTAAGACCTCGGGGCTAACATGGGTACTACTAAAACCTGTAAACAGAGAACAGTCACATTGGTCCAAAAACTACAGCGTCTGACAAACACGGGTTAAGAATAGATAAGCTTGTATACCTCATCAATTACATTCCCATCTGCATCGAGCACCATACCATACTCCACAACATGGCTAATGGGTTGCCACGTCCTCTTCCTTTTCCTGGAAGGTCGAAATACTCGACTAGCGATAGCCACAGCAGAAGGCCCCGAAAGTCGAACAATTCCCACAGCACCAGGGGGGGCCCCCAAGGATGTGACGATGGCTGCAATTGTGCTCGTATTCTGAACACGGCCAAGCTCATGAGCAGCACCAACAGGCTCCGCCAGGCGCTCATCTTTCTTCAGAAAGAACGTATAATTCTCTGAACACATATCAGTCAAATAAGAAGCAAAAAGAACGCGAACGCGAATACAGTAGTGAAAAAATCGAAAGAGAGATGGTCCAGACCTTTGGAAGTGGCACGGGATTTAAAAACTTCGGAGGTAGGACTTGTGGATTTAGAGGAAAGGAGGCATTTAGAACAAAACGAGGGGTTTGAGCGTAGAGGCATAGCTGGGCGTAGTGGAGGGGAGCGAGAGAACCAGCACACACGACGTAGGAAATGGCGGAGAGCAGGAACGTATTCCAGCGCCATTGAGTTCACTGTTGAACGCAGCACCAATCCGTCGGATGCCTATCCCTTATCGGCCAGTCCCCACTGCTTTTCCTTCCATTGTGGTCGGACGGTGACCGAAATCAGTTGCTTATCTCAGCCCAACATTCGCCAGCCTGTCGTAGCCCATTAGGCACGTTTTTGGGCCAAGAGCCTTTGATCCGGGTTCTGGATGGCCTGTGTTCTTTACATTTTCTTGCACCATTGCCTCTTTAAAACAAAAAGTAATTTAGGTGGATTGAATTTCAGAAGTTCATTATAATTAGAGTGCATTTTTAAGTTCAAATGGTGTTTAAAAAATACTTATAAATTACTTATTAATAAGATTCACGTGTTAATAATAGAATTTAACTTATTTGAGAAAATTACCTTGCATGAAGGAAATTCAATTTTATAATAGAAATTTAAAACTCAAAGGCCAAGCATGCCTTTAAATATAAATAGTGCTTATAAAAATACTTATAAATTGTCAATCAATAAAGTCTTTTTATCAACAAAAATATTTGATTCCACAATCTAATAGATTTTTATGTTATCTTTTTGTATACATGATTATATAAACTCTTCCTACCACTATACATAAGATGTCCTTTAAAACTTTTTTTTATTACATGATACAAGGAATTTTTTCGCATTTTTTATCGATTGGACCATTTTATTTTTATCCCCTAACTCTTTCAAAATTGTAGAATGAATAATTATGGTTTGCAGAGGAGTTTTTAATTATTTTTTGTAGAATATGGATAAAAATGAAAAGTTGACATACTTTTATTGAGTAGCTAACTTTCACTAACATTAATAAAATAATTGAAAACACTTTACACGTGAGTATGGAGGGCGTACATGTATATCTCACATCTTAAGATTTTAAAAATTACCACAGGCAATGCATCATTCTTTGTCGTGTTTATATTTATGCAACATAGCACTAGAATTTAAGTATCATGATACTATGATTTTTACTTTAGAAATTTGTGTGAAGCCTCAGCAAATAAATTCATACAAAGACAGTTCAGCCCTCCAAATAACAAATTGAACAAATTTTAATCCAGTAATATAATTAAATCTAATAAACTATTTGAAGTGAAAACATGTTGCCTTCTCTAACTTGTAGTATTGCTTGCGTGTTATATATATATATATACATACATATATATATTGCAACATTAAAAACAAATATTGGAACAACACTGAACCCACCCTGAACGTTATATTCACTTCCCATGTTTTTTATTTTTTTGCTAGTACTTTCCATGTGTACAAGATCAGGATCTTCAGAATAGTTAAAACAGTGGAATTGGGAATATATAAAGAAAAGTATTTTCAGCCAATTGTCGGTGAATAATGTCACTTTCTTTCAACATTCAAGTTTGAGGCGGGGAGTACTTCTGACTTGAATCTGACGTCTTTTGCAGCCCATTTCATACAAAGCCAAAAACAACACCAAACTCATTTCCATCTTGTACAGTCTTGCATCCATGATTCAGAACTTTTGCCTCAAAAGCTAAAGAGAACATGGGGGAATATTAATGAGGATTCTTTGCCTTAAAGTAGTTCAGTGGACATTTCTTTTTGAATTGCAAGTGATAGCATGTGCGATCAAACTGGCGATCTTGCGCTAGCAAGGACGAGCAAAGTGCCACTAGACCACAAGGCCATCAACTGTAGACATTTCATTTCAGTAGATATAAATAGGCACCCCCCCCCCCCAAAAAAAAATGCTTTATACCATATTCTTATTTCCCTTTTATAGGATGATTAAGGATCTCAGGTAGGCAGGGCCACAAATGCCATCTATCTAGTGACAGCCTCATATCATTGACTAGGTAGCAGATCTCCAAGACCTCATTCACAACTTCCGCCCTATTTTTTTACACCCTATTTTCATCTGCATCTCTCAATCTCATAGCCAAAATTTTTAAGAGAAAGTTACTTTAAGGTCTCACTCTATACAATTAATGACTCCTTGACAACTAAGTTAAGGAGATTGACAACACAAAGCTCAATTGTCAATAGACTTGGGAGTGATTAATAGTGTTGAATGAGACTTATATGTAATTCTTCCAATTTTCAAGGCTCTTCCGCCAGCTTTGAGGAACAGTACGCAACAGCATCAGCAACTGTGAGGTAGATCTTGTCCTCACCGATCAGATTTGCAAAATTTGAGGTGTGAAGCTTGTTTATCACTACTGGGCCGGGGTTTGCTAGGACAAGCTGTGGAGCACAAGAAACTCAAACTTGGTAAGATAATTTGTGTCATATCATATATCAATTTTTAATGAATTCGATGCAATTAATCAAAAGTATATGGATCTTAGGCTTCACAGAGTTAATTTAATTACCTGAACATCTCTCTTTTGAAGACTTTTGTATAACTCTTCAAAGGCATGAATGCCACTGGTATCAATGTCAGTAACCGCTAAAAAAAAAAACAAAAAGGAAAGGAAAGGAAAAAACAGCAGCAGCAGGAGGTTTAGGAACAAGCAAAGGAATCTCTAGGGGAAACCATACTTAAACAAAATACTCACGTGACATTTCGACTATCAAAAATTTGATTCGTGTTTGGTAATCTCCTTTCACTCTGTCTTCCTCATCTGTCAGCCATCTCAATATCCTGCAAAAAATATAGAATTTGAGCTTCAAAATTGAATCCTTATGCGGATGAGGATGGGGAAATGCTATGTATTTCTGAAGAAAAGAAATGAAACTTGAAAAACAAAATTCCACAGCAAACAATTTTCCGAACAGCAAAGTGGCTTGATTACTTTACTTCTCAACCGGCTGTTTCTTCCTTTCTTGCTTTCACAAAATAATTAGAATCCATCCTGATTTAGTTTGACCATATCCCTTGGTTCTCATATTTAGAACTTCAAACCAATCCTAAACCCATCCCTACTCTTTAACAACACGAGAATGGAAGATTCAGTGACTAGAATATTGTAATACATAGGAGCTCCCTTACGTTATTTGATATAATTTGAGTTTTCTATATATATATATATATACACCGTGCTCAAACTTCATCTTATGATATGAATGATAACCTGTGATCTCTGACATTATAAGCCACATGATTTCTCTCCTTAGGTTTTAGGAATTAGAAGATAGATTATAAATATATAAGCTTATGAAGTATCTAATCAAATGGTTTAAACTATTTTAGTGGAGTATACTATCTTTAAGTATAATTAATATAAAAAATCTAACATGGTATCATGAGCCATTCAATTGATGACCAAAAAAAAAAAAGAGGAAAAAAGAAAAAGAATGAAAGATGAAAAAAAAACTAAAAGAGAGAGAGAGAAAAGGAGAAGAATAGATTTGAGGCCTCTGAGACTGAAAAAAAAAAGTACAAGCTCATGCAAGAACAATAAGAAAATGAAAAAAAAAAAGCAATAAAGGAAATCTTAGAATATAAAAGAAGTCTCAATCTAAAAATTAGAAGATAGATTATAAATATATAAGCTTAGGAAGTATCTAACCAAATGACTTAAACTATTTTAGTAGAGTATACTATCCTTAAGTATAATTAATATAAAAAATATAACATTATATGATTGGCCAAAAACCATGTCGACAAAGGAATCAATATATGAATTACTTGTCTGATCTCATTTCAGATCCATTAGAAGTATGAGGAAACAAGGAATACATCTTTACCTTTCTTTAACATAATTGGAGTTGGAAAAGCATATGGCAGAATCAATTCTTACAATCAGCACACCAGGAACCTTTGTGGCCTCTGGGTATTGTTGGGTATTTCTATAGACATTTGTCCCAGGGATCTTCCCCAGAATAGCTGTTCGTGGTCTGGTAACTTGTAATAGGATTTTAGCAAAGGATATACAGACCTGCCCCAACATGCAGCAGATAGCATAACCAAGTTGAGTCAAAACCCATAACTAACTTGAGATTGTAAAAAGCTAGAGAGTCAGAGAACTTACAGCAATTAAAAGTCCAATCTCAACTGAGACAAAAACAACCCCAAAAAAGGCTCCCATGCAAGCAATAAAATCAAATTTATCAATCTTCCATATTAAAACTGCTGCCTGATAGTCCACAAGTCCAATTACAGCAGATATGATAATGGAAGAAAGAATGGCATTTGGAGTATACTTGAAGAGAGGTGTAATGAACTGAAGGGTCAAGAACACAACGATGGACATAACAATATTAGAGACTGCAGTTTGGCAGCCAGCCATGTAATTTACTGCTGACCGAGAAAAAGAACCTGAATATAGCAATAAAATCAGATTAGATCATACATCATAGGCTACAAAATAATTAGTTCATCTCACCTACACCCACTGACAATGTAATTTTGAAGCTATCCACTTCACTAGGTTATTATAAACCAATCTATTCATGTTCCAACTTGTAATTGATGGAGTTGGAGCTCACCTGTTGCTACATAGCAGGAAGTCATTGAACCAACAATATTCATAGCTCCTAATGCTGTCATTTCCTTATTTCCATCTAAATGATAATCCTTCATAGAAGCAAAGGTTCTTCCTATTGCCGTGGCTTCCTGAAAAACAAGACATGAGAGTTAGAATTAGTGGTTAGTTAAATTGAATGCTTTTCGTTAGAAGATACTAGTGTTGAGATTAACTCACTGTCAATGCTATCATGCCGGCCACAATGCCAATCTTGAAACCTTTCCCAAGGAAATCACCACTGAAATATATTTCTTTAACAGATGAAGGATTGGTCCCCTTCTTTATGTGCTTTACCTAATTACCACATCAATTGACAAATATTAATCGGTACATTATTACTTCTGCTGGCATTAGTACCTTTTCTTCCTACAATCTCCCGGTGATATAATTATAAGATTTATGGTTATAATCCACAAGGCTTAGGATGAGAAAGGCAATATATTTAACTTACAATTTCAACACCTTGCTTGTCCGCACGGGTTATGAACACAATTAAAGTGGAGAGAATAACCGATATCAATGGGGCAATTGCTGGCACCCAGAAGAATTTCTTGTTCTTTTTGCCCTGATCACCATATTATTAGAAATGAGAAAGGAATCTATATTATGCTTATAATCTGGCAAAGGAATGAATAGTGCAATGGAGTTAGGATGTTTCACCATATATCTTGCAATCAGCAGAAAAACCAAAAAGCTTGCTCCTATGACTATAGTCTGCCAGTTCCACTGCAAGATTGTACATACCCGGTCAATTTTTGCACGTCACACTAGTGCAATTTTTTGCAGGGACTGCTTCACACTAGAGGACCTGATATGAGTTACTGTTTGTGCATATATGTGTATCAATAGACAGAGAAGCAGAAAGCGTACACCATCATGGGCTTTTGAGAACACTGAATGCAACACAGACACAATATCAGTTTTCTTTGTGAACTTTTGAATGCCAAGGAAACCCTTGAGCTGTTGAAGGGCAATGGTGATAGCAGCTCCCGCCATAAAACCGACGATAGCAGCATGGGACAGGAAGTCAATCAAAAAACCCAGCCTGATCCCAAAACAAACCCGACCATAAGTTCATTAAGTTGTGTGAAAAACTGGAGCCTTCTTAGGAGGTGGTGCAGATGGTATAAACACTAGTAGTAGGAGCTAAGAAGGTTTAAATACAAATAATTCTGTTTGGAAAGAAAAAACATTAGCTGAAAGTGTCAAACCTGAAGACCCCAAGAGTTGCTTGAGTAATGCCAGCAAAAAAAGTAGCCGTGAAAGCAAGTCTTCGATACTCAGATGGATGTGAAATAGGATCAATCTCGTTCTGAAGTAAGGTTCCTAACAAGAGAGAAACCACCGCCACAGGTCCTATGGCAATATCACGAGAACTACCCATGATAGCATAAATCAGCGGGGGCACAAAGCTGGAATCTGTAAAGTGGTACAACAGTAGTAACCAAAACTCGATCAGTCCAACGTGTATCCAATAGGCAACATATAGGCTATTCGCGCTCTTGAGATGAAGAGTCTTACACAGCCCGTACTGTGGAGCCAAATTTGCAAGCTTTGCATATCCAATATCCTGTTTATGAAGCATAGATGATTACCAAAACCTTCTGACATTGTTTGTGCAAGAAATCACTCCGTTGTTTATACATCAAGAAATAAAACAGCCTTAAAGGCAAGTTACCTGAGGAATGCAGAGACTTGCAATAGTCAGACCAGCTATGATATCCCCTCTGAATTTGACAGCATTGTAATTTCTCCCCCAGTTAAGTATTGGGAATACGGCCTCAATGCCAAGGATGAATTTCCGGAATTTAGTCTGGTCTTTGAAAGAGCGTAGAGGATCATCAGCAAAGAATGTTTCTTTGACAAGGGATTGGAATTCCTTGAAGAGGTTCTGTCTCGGAGGAATTCCCACTTTGTGAAGGCGTGGTACCTGACCCTGTGAAGATGACAAACTGCTAGCATCCATCTCTTTTGTTTTATGGGTTTCATCAGCTGGATCCCCCATTGGAGACATCAACAACTACACTCACCTGTAATGCAAAAAAACTTCTCGAGTCTTACGTGTTCGATAAAATATTTAAAAACAAAATATCAGACAATTTTTAAAGATATTTTAGTTTTATATGACCAGTTGATTTATCCATAAAAAAAGTAAAAATATACTGGAATGATGGTTGCGACATGCAAAATAGACTCACTGCAACCCTTCCATGAACTTTGATTCAGGAGTTTAATGATCAAGTATGCCATGAACCGTTCACATTTTTTATTAAATTAAAGCCAAGCCAGGTACAACCAACCTCAGAAGCAGAATAAAGCAGATTTGGTGTATCAAAGAAGAACAAGAACAAGAAAGGAAGAAAGAAACCAGATTTGGTGATAACGAGCAATAATTCAGAAATACTAGCTGACCTGAATAAAAGGGCGCAAATGCTGGGTTGCTGAGAGATGTAGCACTGACTGGTCACTAATTCAAGTTGGACGGCCTTGAGGTCACTATGAAGCTATTGGGTTATACTATAACTTTCGGAATTGGTCAACGTTCTCAAGCTGAAATAGAAAATTAATAAAAGTCTGAGAGGTTGTGAGCTCGAGTTCCTTTCATGTCTCAAGAATTTTGGAAATGGAAAAGTCAAGCATAATTTTCAACCCAACCATCCCATGAGTAGAAATTTTATACCGTATGAGAAGGTGTCGACTAGTGTATTGAAGTCGCGTTACGAGTTGCAATTGGGCACTTCATACAAGTCAGAGAAGTTGTTTGTCTTTGAAAAATAAGAGAGAAGAAATACAAGTTGAAAGTCGCCAAATTTCAAAATTGTTTTCATGACGGGAAAGATTTGGAGGATTCAAAGAATATGATTGAGTATAATCTTAACACACCTCAGTTGAATTTCACGGATATGTGATTACAGATTTTTAATGCAACACGAGAATAATTATGGTCCACAACACTACCGTACAAAAACTGATAATCATTCATGCATATTGATATTTAATGTGTTTGACTGGAAAGGAAAAGAAATTAATATTAAACAGTTTCATTCCAAACAAAGATTGAAAGGAATCAAATTCATTATCTTAATTAATTCCCTCCTTCCTTATTAAATCATTGCAAAGACCCAGTCTGACCGTCTAAGAGAACCCCTAAGTTGCACAGGACTTCCAACAATAATGAGTCATTTGCAACTAAAGTCGATTTTAGAACCCAAACTTTAAATGTTGTATACAAATTTTTCCACCAATTTTTTTTTTAAAATCTCAATCCAACTCTTTTCAATAGGCGGCAAGAAGCTAAATAAAGGAAAGAAAGAAAGAAAGAAAGAAAGAAACAGATTGTTTGTCATGGTGACGAATAGAAACTGTCTTGTCATTTTCTTCTGTTCCTTTTGGAAGAAAAATATTTAGAGATGACCGACTTTTTTTTGGGTTTTTTTTTGGGGGGGGGTGGAATAAATAAGGAGTTATGTGATGCAAACTTGAAAGTTTTAAAGTCCATAACCATTGCTTGGTTGAAAAGATTCTACACACTTTCAGCTAAATCATTCCATGCAATGAAGTTAATTTATCCTCGCAAATGTAGCTGTGCAGAAATTACTTTGATTACATGCTTGAAGAAACAGAACTGAAGTGAACTGGTTCTGCCCTTGCCAGCTGCCAAAATGGCTTTTCGAAATCGCATGTGTGGATAATAAAAGAGTAAACAAGACTCGAAACTCGTCCATCCATTCATGGCTTCTCATGTAAGCCATCAATAGTGGAGGACTAGAGGATATGATTACACCAACGCAGAAAAGTCTTCTTCTTCTTCTTCTTCTTTTTTGCCCCATAAAATCCTCTAACCACTCCTTTGTCAGGATTTGAGTGAAGAAGCAATCCAAACAAAACTGACAATGACCATAAGAGCAAAAAGGAACAAGCGAAAATTGGAAAGAATGAATACCCAGGAATACTCACTGCTTGGCTTTCCGTTCTCCACATTCGACGGTCCTCGTGTTTCTGAAAAGACTTCACATTTATGTGAATTATGAAAATACAAAATAGAACAGAGAGCGGCTAAAGAAACCAGAAAACCCAGTCACAGTCCATGTTGATAGAATCCATGTCCATGATCGTCACTTTGTGCCGTCTTAAAATATCACAGTCGACATCCTCGGAATCTGCTTGGTAATGAGGTTTCATTTGGAGATTTTGAGGTCATGCAGATAGGAACGAAGAAATATATGCGCAACGTCACAACGAAACCCAGCAAGTGAGGAATAACATTTCCAAGAAGGGTAAAAGATGCAAATGCATTATATCCTCTTCCGATGTCTCTTACAATACTTAGAGGAAATGCTTAAAAATGAAGAATAAGAAGAGCGCGTATATACATCTGAAATAATTTCCAGGAAAGAATGGCATATATTGTAAGCGTGGCCTTTGAAAAAAACAGGTCGATATTCGCAGGGCAGCCACATTCCCCTGAAGATGAAGGGCAAAACGGGTAATGAAATGAAAAGTCAGCGGCAGCGCGGTAACAAAACCAGGACTTTGTTGGTCAACGCTGCTGTTTGCTTTCTCAGATTTCTTTTCCTTAATTTCTCGGAAGACCCAACACGTGTCACGTTCTGGAGACAATGAATACAGTTGTCTTCCTGGCCAGGTTCATCATGCGGACGTGCGAAACTGTGCTGACCTTTCTGCCGGTTTCTGTAATACAAGCACGGGAATTATACCCCCCCTCCCAAGACGCCTGGGATCTTTTTATTTTTAATATAAAATATTTGATGTGATATTAATTATTTTTTATATTAATTTTATTTAAATTCATTGAATATGAGGAAGAGTCTAATGTAAATTTGAAAGTTGTTTTCATTTAAATAAAAACAAAATTAAAAATTTATTACATATTTTAGAAAAAAATGAATAACTTAATTATTTTTCATTGATTCTGTTAAGTGGTTAGAAGTTTTTTTTTTTTAATACAAGGATACAAAAAAACCATGTAAAAGAAGAATAAAATCAAGTCATGTCAGATTCCATAAGGGATCTGCATCCTAAAGGTAGATAATTGTAAATAATAAAATCAAGATTATTCTGAGATGCAAGGTGAGCGAACATGTCCACACATCTGTTTGCTTCAGTTAGAAGTTTATTTTAATAATAATCAAAAAGAGTATATCCCTACTCCTTCTTTCAGTTGCCAGTTGTACACAACTTTTAACCAGAATACACGTATCAATATGAATAGTTCTATTCCTTCCCATGCTTATTTACATCATGCAATACTTGAATAACAAATCGTAAGCTCGCTCTCATTAAACCACAATCAACACAAAATTTAAGGTAATCATTGGATTAATTCAATTAAATTACTAAGATTGTAATTTTGCAAACTTAGAATCTCAAGTTTTCATTTTTAGAAAATGTGTAAACATTATTTAATAAATACTAAATCTAAGAAAAATATTATTACAAAAGTATGGGATACCTTTCTAGAGTCAAAGGACTCAAAATTAGTTGAAAATAATTGAAAAATGAAAAATAGGGGGATGCGTCGCGGCATGTGCACATGTGTCGCGACTATCTTCCTCCGCACCATGTGTCGCAGTGTGTTGCACGATATCAAATAGCATTTTTATGTCAACTAATAACATCTAGAGGAAACTTCTGAAGTGCCTCATTTCTCCGTCTAACATCCTAATGAGGTGATCAAGATGTTAATAAAAAAATTTTCTGAACTAGCTAATGGCATGAGTTTTACTCCTAAATTATTTTACACATAGAAGTTGGACATCCAATTATATTTTTACAACTTTTTATATTTTTTCAACTAAAAAGATATCCAAAACCCTACACATATGCCAAAAATTGCCACTAATATTCAAAACACACTTAATGAATTTAGGACTATCTGTATAACACACCACTTATACATATTCTCAATATTTTTGAACTTTCACTTCTCAATCCCTTTAATATCAAAGTAGAAGGGGAAGGTTTAACATTGGATAATTTATTAAACTTTCAAATACAACAATATCACAATGTTCCTTACACTTGCATTAATATTTTAGCTTTATCAAAATCACTTTCATAATAGCCTTGGGGCTCAAAATACACCATCTAATCATGCTTAAAATATATACCAAAAGAATGCAATCCTTAATTAGCAATATTCTATCTATTACACAACATAAAATAAATGATAAGGAGGCTTTACAGCAGGAATACAAAATTCCTAAGCCTTCAGAGCCTTTTCTTTTTCTACACCTGAGCTAGAGCCTATAAAATATTGACAACCATTCAATAATCAAGGTACGTCTATCTTATATAGTTGCATGTTAATTGACAAAAACATATAAATAGGAGTTCAGTACTCAAATGTATGCAATTACATATAATGATTTTTGAATTGCAAAATTTGTCTATACTCATTTTCCATAAACCAAAACACAAGGCACATTGTCACAATATCGACAATCATATGACAAATCAACAGTGTTGTTGCACATCGCCACGATACTAATAACCATGTGACAGCGACAATGACAATCAACTATCATGACTTGTCACAAACTTAGCAACCATGTGACATGTCGAATATAAATGCATGATCAATTCCTCTTTATACCATATTTATTTCCTCTTATCGAAATTGCGAACTATTATATCAATCAAGGTTTCCTCTATATGATTGGACTATTTAAGCTCACACTATGAGGAGTAATCACTACGCTCACTCTTAGTGGCTTCTCTCATTCTCAAATCCCTAGAGTGTCGTAAATTTTAAGCCAATATCCTTGATAAATAGATAGGGATGGCTAGATTCAAGTTCATTGACAAACTATGAGACAATCCCTTCATAAACACTAGGACAAGGCTAGCCTTCATGCATTGGAAGGTGGCCATATAATACTATATGGATTCATTTACTCCTCTTCTTATGTAAACTTTTACCAAATGATCATGCAAGGTCTCATGTTCTCACACATATTAACACATGCTTATAATTCACGATAATAAGCTTGTTATTTCAAATTATATGATTAGTTAAAACATATGAACATGAGAATCATTTTCACTTATCACATATAACCTTCACTTTTAATCTCAATCACAATCATATATTCTATACTATACATAACCACTTCATGCAATTATCATAATCACAAAATCATTAAAATAACTTGTCAACTTCTCCTTTCTACATGTAATTGTAATATGCAAACATTTCAAGTTCAACTCTATATTTATATTCAAATTTAGTTTAATAAAACCTCTCACAACTTTGGCACGCATTTAAAATCACAATTTCAAATTTGGAGTCTTAGATTTCAAAATGCCTAAGGTAAAGTTTTTAAGCTCATTTATTTGCTGTCTATTCCATTTTCTCTAGTTAGAAAGTTAGGGTTTGATTGAGAAAGATAATTTTCAATCCATAGAGGTTATAGGTCTAAACCTATTAACTTAAATAGAGTTAGTGAAAATTGTTTAAACTATTTACACCTAGCAATAATGGCTCCATGTGTTTTTTATTGTTGGGAGCTATAAATGCATGAAAACCCTCTATAATGAGGTTGATGGAATAATGTGGCTCTATTAATAATTCTTTAAAAGTTCAATGAAGCTAATAAGAGTTAGAGAAGGCTAAGAAACCCTATGGGAACCTTTATCTGTAAAGAGATTGAATCTTAAGAGTAAAGAAGTGGTGAATTAGATAGTAGAAATTATGTAAAAAGGGATGTTGATGAATTATATTGTGATTAATTATAGAGTGAGCATATTTTAGAACCATTCAAGCTTCATGAAAGCTTTAGAAGTGTGTATTTGAAGGGCAAAACCTTTAACCTATCAAAGGTTTAAGGTAATCAGGGGAACTCTTTCTTATGCTTTTGTGTGTTAATTGATTTATTATTTTAAAATGCTATATTTGGAGTATGTAAAGTTATTTGAAAAGCAATATGGCATAAAACATTTTGAAAATCAAATATGATTATGTGTAATATATTTCCATGATTATGTGTGATTAAATGGAGTCTAATGACACGGTATGTAGAGTTCTATGAGGTGTGTAAAATGTGAAGTTCGATGAATGCAAGAAAAATGAGAGTAGCATAAATGTTTATGATGTGAAGTTAAATGATGTATTGTTTGTGAAGTTTAATAATTATGTAAAATGTGAAGTTCTATGATTAATTGTGAATTAAGAAAATGTAAAGTATAATGAAGTGAGTTGACTTGTTAATGTGTGGAATATTTGCATTGTTATGAGAAATTATATTTTGATGCATTGCATAGTCATGTGAGTCGAGAATTTGCTTAGGGAGAGGAGTAAAAAAATTAAATCCACATGGTAAGGCTTCTATTAGAGCTCAATAGTTTGCCCGAGATTATCATATTTATCGTCCCACTTATTCAATAAGGGACTATCTCACTAGTTCAATAAGGGACTTGAACCTAGCTAATTTTTTCACTTATTCAACGAGGAAGCTAGTCTAGAGAGAATGACACCCTATAATGTGAGAAATGAGGAAAATCATGACCTACAACTAAGTTGAGTAACCTTGGTCGGGTAACCTTTCATGCGTGTCTTGGCTAGGGAAGTCTCACTTTATATATGATCCCAATTTGTTGTAGCCCACGATTTCTTATTAGAGACACAAGGAGGATATAAGAAAAGTATGATTATGTATATTATGATAAAAGGGCATATGGTTATCTGTATTATGACCCTAAAGATGAAACTCATGAGATTAGTCTCTATGAGAAATTATGTTATTAAGTCATTATTTTATATTATATACTATTATAAATGAGAAATGTGTTTAGTGTTCTTAAACATGTTGAAGGAATTAAGATTGATATATTTGCCACTTGTTTTTAAATTGATTAATATGCATTAGTATAAGTTAGATAGATCTTAGTTACTGAGTAGTTGTACTCACCCTATTGCCTTCAATATTGCAGGACATGGATGAGGGAAACAGACTGAAGCCTAGGATTGTTATCCTTAAAGTGTAGGTCTCATTTATTTTGATTTTTGTTATGTGTATAATTGAAATGATATTGCCAACTAGGAAAATTTATGTTATATCTTACTTACACTATGTGTTTTGTTAAACTATATTGTGTATTGTGGACCCTACAGTGCATATGTACTGATGGTGAAATCTATAGTATGGCTAAAATACTAGTGCAAGCAAGGTTTGTATATGACACTTGAATTATGATGATTAATTGATCGAATGTGTGATTGGAGCTTCACTTTTTATTTTTATGATTAAGGGGTTGAGCAATAAAAATATGTTTTACGTGGTATGTTAGTAATATGGTGTATTGCACAAGTCTATTTCAGTTCATTGAGTGTG